GCCCGGCTGGAATTCGCCTTGAGCTTGCTTTCCTCGCCGGTTGAACGCGGAACCTGCACGAAACTCCCACACCGGAGGTGTTTTCCGGTGAAGAGCCTCCAACGCTCAAGTGAGATCTTTAGAGATGATATTAGTGTATAGAGAAATGTAAGAGTATGTAAGATCGTGTTGAAAATGAGGATTTTCGCCCCTATATATAGGGACGAGTTACCTGAGTTGCACGCGCGAGCCAGGTGCGTTCGCCAATTGTCCTCTGCTCGTCCGTACGATCGCGCGCCTCCACTATCCTCAGTGTCAGAAAACGCGTCACCTTTGTCAGAGAATGTCAGAGTCGGTTACGGCTGTTGACCACTCACAATGCGCCGCGTGTCCTCCTCCTTATGTGCTGGAGATTCCTCTATGTGCTCCGATGCTCTACCAGTTATGTACGTCTATGTCTCCTCGATCGTCCTCTCTCGACCATATCCTCAGATGACTTGTATCTTTCGACCACCTCTGCTCTCCTTTACTGTCGTTATCTGCTCGATGTTCTAACGGCCGGTGTCTGGTCCTGCTCAACCATGCCATTCGACCTTATCCCCACTAGACCGTCCAACAAACCGGTCGGTCTCCTTTGATTAGCCCTATAAACCGGTCCAATATTTATTGTATCTGGTCATTATCTCTTAAATGATAAATTATATTAATTTGAAGAACGATTTATTTTTTATATTTAACAAAATAAAGCTTAAGAAACAAATATATTGGCAAATATTAATTCACCAACTTAATTTTGTCTGATTACTTGGAAAAACAATTCTACCTAACCTGTTACGATTTTTCATAAATATTTTTGAATAAAAAAGTGAATATTTGTGAAAATTAAACCTATTATTATGGTTAGAACTTAAAATATGGTGTAATATTATCTTGACCAAAATATTATCAACATGGATCACAGAAATCAATCTTGTAATTTATTATAATGAATATCAATGAAAGTATTACAATATTAATAAAATAATATTTATCTTGACCAAAAATATTATCAACATAAATAACGAAAATCAATCTCGTAATTTATTATAATAAATATCAATGAAAAATACTGCAGATATTAATAAATTTATTTAAGTAATTATTTGATCATATATTATTTGACCTTATTTGAAAACGTGTAAATAGAACCAATTAATGCATGTATTTAAAAGATTTCCAAAAATAGCATGCATTTAATGTTTCCTAAATTTTTGCTACTACTTTTAGTAAATGGTAATTCTTTTTATATATAGATATATAGATATAGATTACGAAGCATTTTTTTCGCCACGCAAGATTCTGAAGCGTGCGTGACTGAAACTTAGGAGCATACTTTACAATTACATATGCAATTACAAGAGGATTGCATTGATTAGAGAAATGATACACTAGTTTATGATGACAATCAAAGATATGACTGAGTTGTGTATTCCA